CGCACAGCCAGGACCATGCACCCATTTCCCCCAAAGGAAACAACACAAAACAAGAACTCTCTCCGACATCCCTGACCTGCTGATGGAAATATCTGACTCCAGAGTTCTCTCGGTGACCGGCTATATCATGAAACGCCTCTTTTACCGCTCGCTGGATTCAGTACTGTCATTAGCCGCATGCCGCTCTTTATTGTCACAATATTTACAAATGCACGGCTAAACTACGATGAGCATTTTAAGACCATGAGAGATCCAAACTCTTTTAGGGCTTTTTCACACAAATTACAGCGTGTTCCAGCACAGTTAGCTACTGGAACACACTGTACCGCATACTAAACTTCCCACTGCGTTCTGGGGTGGAAGGGGGCAGCATTTTATGCGAACCGCACTGGACCGGAATGCAGGCATTGTCGTGCCACGCATTCTGGGGTGGGCGAGGGGGCTTGGAACTCACTGTAATTGTTGTGAACAAGTCCTCAGACCCGGTTCCATCAGTGTTCAGGCTGCGCTGTCTGTTCCAGGGCAGCCCAAATGCAAGACAATGCAATCCGCCTCGTCATGGACGGTAACAGTTCACACACAAAGTTAAAAAAAAAAAGTGTGGCATGCGGTACTATTTTTTTTAGCCCACCGCAGTGAGACGCAGTACAAGCACATCGCACTGTGGTGACCCATAGAACTTAATGAAATGTCACTTGTGACATTTCAATAAAGTTCTAACAAAAAACATTGCGATGTGGGTCAATCGAGCGCATCAGCACTGTGCCGGGCACGTGCACACCAGCAGCTGTGTGGCTGAGCCTGGCTGCTGGTGTGAACCGGCCCTTAAGCAATCATTTCATCTGCAACATACTGACTTCAGCCTGGGACAAAGGAGATGTTTGTCAACAAGTGGTTATTAGCTCAGTCCTGAAGAATAATAATAATAAATAATAATAGTGGCACTCATATTATTAAAAGATAAAATGTGCATCTATTATTTTTTTGCATTTGAGCCTGCAGACCATTGCAAACGTGATGAGTGGGTCATGGGTATAGTGCTCCGGTCCCTGCAGACTGTTCCTTCCATCAGTACAGAGTTACAGACTTGCAGCAAAGGGACGGGAGGAAGTGTAAATGGACTACAAGTGCGGTGACATCACGCCACAGTGACAAAAAAGGAATTGTAGTTTTTCATTCACAGATCCTGTCAAAGTATCTGTGAATGGATGACTCAGGTGTTCGGGAGGAGCAGGATGGGGGTGTGTGGTTGGGGATGAGACCTTCTTTCATGTTACACCCTGAGTGTGGGTGTAAGATGAAACATGACCTATGCAAACCCAAATCCAACCACTAAAATATGTAAATGCGACTCCAAAGACACTTTTTATATTTTATGGTGATCTTGCCATAAAGCTCCTTGTTCAGCTACTTCCTATAATAGGGTGACAACACTCGCTTTATTCCTAACTGTGCCCCTGTGTTGTCTCCCTGTCACACAGGCCTATGATAAAGACTACAAGGGGCCACACAAATGCACACTGCATAGGCACGGTTGTCACCATGAGGAAACTCGCTCTGAGAAAGGTCATGCAGACATCTCTGGGGTGCATATAGACAGGAAGTAGCTGCAGCAGATCACACCATTTCCGGATCAGATCTGGAACGCAGTGCCACATTCTGGAGCCGTTTTATTTTTTTTAAGCTTAAAATGGGCTTTCAGGTGCGGTCCATGCATTTTTATGCGTTCCTGTGCATTCCAGACCAGACAAAGTGAGACATGCAGTACTTTTCTGTTCTGGAACGGACTGCGCTGGTGTGAACAGAGGCCAGAAATAGCATAGGGATGCATTGGGATGCATTTTGGGTCCGGAAACAATCAGGTCTGGAGATGATCTGGATGTGGTGTGAATGGGCCCTGAAGGTGAAACACATATTTTGGTTTTACAGATACCTCTTGTGTATTCCTATACATTGCTTTGTCAAGCCAAACGTATGGATTCACACAAATGCGTTTCCCTCTGTTGCACCTTCGATTTAATGTAAATGGATGGAAGTGCATGTTAATGTGCATTAAGGCGAGCGGTCACACTTTTTCAATGCGCTTTGCATTGAATGTCAGCACACATACCCTGCTTCTTAACGCACACATTGAGATGCATTTTAATATAGTTCTAATAATTTTAATGGGAATAACACATCCAGCAATAATGTAATGGGAGTGAAGCCCAAATCAAGTAGCAGTGTGAGAATGAATACGTAGCCCTGAAGGCTTATGTATATGTACATGTCTGATCGCCTCCGTGTGCCCGGTCCTCACCGATCCATTCAGCCAAAGCTGAACGGATGATCCTATCATCACCTGATGAGCCTATAGGAAGCACAACCACAACGCATATGCTGCAAGTGCACAGGACAAGGTGCTACTTACTACACAGATCCACAGAGAAGCACCCATGTACACAAAGCCTGGAAACACACAAATGTTCTCACTTGCTCTGAGGTTCCCATGATCCTCTATGTCTGACCTTTCATTATACAACCCAAATGTATGATCTCCTTACCTCCAACAACTGCCTGCTGGTCTGTATACAAACTGAAAGCATAGTTTAGATACGTCTTCATATATCGCATGGGTCTGGTACAGCTAAAAGTAGCTCACACCGAGATTGTACGGTGTGTAGAGCGTATGGCCAGCTTAAAGTGTATGTCCACATTGCAGTCACATTTGAGAGACCCCGCCTCTACCATTGTTATATGTTCCCATTCACACAGCATACCCCAAAAATAATGTACAATATATATTGCTTACGGTAACTGTTTGTTGTTTCTTTGGCACTGGTTTATACATGGGACCCTATAGGCAGCACATGCCGTTCACAATAGCTTAGAAAGTGCCATAAGGGGACAGACTGAGGGACAGGGTTTTTATAAGAGTATTATCATACAATGTACCACCCAAGCCTTAAGATCTTTAACCCTTTCATAGGACGGACAGGGTGCACCTCTAGTTTACAACTGATGTGGAGATCTGCCAGCACAGTACCGACATGGTTAATTATGGTAAACTTAGCTCTCCAGCCCCCTCCAAGTGTTATCAAACCCTCCATTTAAAAATTACATCACAGCAGCACACTATTGCATTTGCCGGCTTTGATGTCCACATTGGTGAGTATTTATCAAAACTGGAGCAGGTTTGCATTGCAGCCAATCAGCTTCTCTCTCTCGTTCTCAAATCTTAACAGGGCAAACTGAAGAGAGATGCTGATTGGTTGCCTGCTCCAGGTTCTGTTTGCTACAGTTTTGCAAAATTCCCTTCAATGCGTTTACAGCTTCTGGCTTCTTTCTGACTTTGTTTTGAAATATCACTCCTGTTATTGGGGTGGTTACACTGTCTTGCAGGGTCCCCTGGAGCCCCGCCATAGTCAGCCTTACCAGTGCACACCCGTCCTGGCAATGCCACACACCATGCACCAAAGCTCATCGACTGCCCCTAAGCATTGCAATCCCTGCTCCTCCTCCGAAGGGGACTGGGTGGCAGCTCTATGAGAAGGCATGCGCTTTCTTATGATGATGCTCTACCTCAGGGGTAGCCAAACTCTGGCCCTCCAGCTGTGGTGGAACTACAAATCCCATGAGGCATTGCAAGATTCTAACAGCCACAGACATGACTCCCGGAGAGAGATGCATCATGGGATTTGTAGTGTCACCACAGCTGGAGGGCTGGAGTTTGGCTACCCCTGCTCTACCTAATGGGACACATATCAGTCATGTGACATGTAGTAAAGGAAGGATCCAGCCACACTGAATCAGTTTATTCGTCAATGACAACGAGTCCTGCCCCCTCTGACATGTTTCACCCAATCCTGGGCTTAGTCGAAGCCATAGAGGAGCAGTGCTTTATCTCTGTGCCTTGGTGACGCAGTCATGTGACCTTTCTATTACATGTGAGCTCCCTGACCAGGGTAAGGCTCATTGTAGGAGCGCTTTGCGAGAAGGAGCGAGCGGATTTTCTCATTGTAAGCACTTAAAGATGTATTTGGGGCTGACCATGCAGGCCGACATGGTGTGTATCAACAGCGCCAATGTAAATAAAAGTTTATTACTACTTTAGCATGGCATAGAAGAGGAAAGGTATACTTGGAGGGGTACTCACATGGGGCATGTACCCCTATAATATAAATATGGGGCGATTTGCCCATGTGGCCCATGTGGGAGCTACAGGTATGGGTATAAACACACACATGCATGTAAAGGAACGTCAGGGATGTGCGTCTGTACATATATTTAGTACTATCCTGATGAAGGGACCCTGCGCGGTCCCGAAAGCACTTGTTTGGTCATATGACAAAAAACTTCAATAAATGAAGCTTTTGCTATCTTAAAAGGATTGGTGTGCTGGTGACATTTCTACAATTTTGTACATATATTTACACACGTCCAGTGTTTACCCGCATACAGCCATTGATTTCTACGGGCGGCTGTACGCAGCACCTGTGGCTCACAGGCAGGACACCCGTATTTTACGCCCGAGGTGCCTGTGCCTGGGAGCCCCAAATAGAAAGGAAAGCAGCTATATGTATTTAAAGTTGTGCTGTGTGAAGGAGAATATGTAACAAATATAAAGTAGGTGTCATCCCAATCCGCCTGCGAAGGTGGACATACACTTCAAGTCCATACTGTGTAATAGTAGTTGAGTGGAAGCAGCTGATATCCTGGAAATGAGTTTACAGCCTGGGAGATGAGAATATGACACACACACACACACCGCCTGGGAAAGTAAACACTCGGACTCACAACTATTCCATGTTTTGTACCATTGTCACACTTATACAGGTTGGTGTTCCCTTTCCCACATCATCCCCCCCGCGGGTTCAGCCAGTTGGGCTCTCCACCAGCGGGAACAATCCAAGACGGATGGGACCACCCTACAAATCTAGGGGTATCCTAGCCCCTCAGAGTCCCGAAGAAGTCATAGAAATGGCTAGCTGCTGCTCTCTTCCCCTCCCGGCCTCACTCACCTTGGCTATGGCCTTCTTGTACCTGGTCACCGCTTGCTGGATGAGGCTCGAAACTTTCAAGTTGCCGTCCCCACAGGGAACCACTACCCGAGTCCTCCCGAAGCTCACCGTCACCTTCATAGTGGCGCCCGGGGGAGCCCGCAGATGCGCCCTGCTCTCCCCGCGCTCTCAGTGTTCAGGGGTTAATCCAGGGTTCCGGTTCTCCCTCCGTATCCTCCGATGTATGCGGGGCCTGCAGCAGCCTCCACCTCCTCCCTTCTCTCCTGCATGTGAATGCGCGACTCCTCCCACCCCCTTCCACCAGGATTGTCTGACCGCCAGCGGCGCAGCTAAGCGCTAGCGAGCCCAGCGGCGCGTCTTAACCAATCAGGCAACAGCATTCCTGATGGACGTTCAGCTCTGCCTATAGATATCCCAACCGGATGACATTCCCGCCCATATATCCCTAGGTAACAAGTGATTGGCGGATGGCGGGGATAAAAGCTGACCCTGGCTGCGCTGCAGCTATAAGGATTCGGGTCGTGGGTCTGTTCGGGAGCAAGTGAGAGGGGGGGAAGACTCACGGTCATCACGCCTTATCATTTTGTGTCTTATGGCTGACAACTGAGAAGGTGATTCATCCAAAGGAAATTAAAGGGGATCAGTCAGAAAGCAAAATATTGACGTGAGAAGCCTCAGATGGAAGCTGCCATACTTCAAAGCTGCTTAGTTGTGTCTGCACAGTGCAGCAGAACCTTCTTTAGCTTCACTTTAAAGGCAACTTTGTTAGTAGGTGAAAAATATAACAGAAAATGTTTTGTTTAGAAATAAAAGGTGTAATACCCACATGACCAATCTTTTACTCTGTTACAGAGCCACAGCGACCGAATGTTCTTCAGCAATGAACTCTGGAAGTGTCGAACGCCTTCCCTCATCCATGCTCTGGGAGTCTACCCTGCCGGCTATTGTAATTGGACAGTCTGTACACGCTGCTGTCAGACTCGGTGGTGGGCAAACTCCGGCCCTCCAGTGGTGGTGAGACTACAAATCCCATGATGCATCTCTCTCTGGGAGTCATGTCTGTGGCTGGGAGAATCTTGCATGCCTCATGGGATTTGTAGTTGCACCACGGCTGGAGATTGCCCACACCTGGACTAGCCCAATCATGACTTCAGTCACAATTTTCTGCCCAGCTCCTCTAACAAAGGCTGACTTTTGCTGAAGCCTGGTGGCGCCAAACTCAGAAAGGTACGCGCACTTCTGTGCCGTGTATGGCAAGCTGTATTGATTGAATAGCTGCCCTGCACGTGACAAACACAACGCACAATGTGGCACATCACAAGTGTTATCGGGGGGCTGAAAGAAGGTGGTGCAGCAAGACAGAGACTACAGCTTATACCAGGCCAGTGTAGTTTGCTAAGGCCCTGCGTATCATACACAGCTCTCATTTATAAACAACATTTGTGTTTTCTCCTTCTCTTCATTCTTTGCTACATTTCAGTGTTGTTGATTCCCTGCACTTTCTTTGCAGCCACTTCCTGTCTACATACATGCACTCCGGCGATAGCAGTACTCCATTTCTCAAGGCAGGTTTCCTGATGCTGATAGCAAGGGACCACGTCTGCATAATGCGTTTTGAAATGGCCACTTGTAGTCATCAGAAGCCCATGTGACAGGGTGACAACTCAGAAGCACATTTGGTGGAAAAAGAAACAGAATAGTGTCACCCTATAACAGACTTTTTTTTTTAACCGTTCGGTCACCTTCCCAACTCTAGGCCTATACTTGGACAATACAGTAGACTAATCAGGTCATCTCTCTCCTCTCCAGCCTAGACTTGGACAGTACAGTAGACTGATAAGGTCATCTCTCTCCTCTCCAGCCTATACGTGGACAGTACAATAGACTGATAAGGTCATCTCTCTGCTCTCTCCTCTCCAGCCTAGACTTGGACAGTACAGTAGACTGATAAGGTCATCTCTCTCCTCTCCAGCCTATACGTGGACAGTACAATAGACTGATAAGGTCATCTCTCTGCTCTCTCCTCTCCAGCCTAGACTTGGACAGTACAGTAGACTGATAAGGTCATCTCTCTCCTCTCCAGCCTATACGTGGACAGTACAATAGACTGATAAGGTCATCTCTCTGCTCTCTCCTCTCCAGCCTAGACTTGGACAGTACAGTAGACTGATAAGGTCATCTCTCTCCTCTCCAGCCTATACGTGGACAGTACAATAGACTGATAAGGTCATCTCTCTGCTCTCTCCTCTCCAGCCTAGACTTGGACAGTACAGTAGACTGATAAGGTCATCTCTCTCCTCTCCAGCCTATACGTGGACAGTACAATAGACTGATAAGGTCATCTCTCTGCTCTCTCCTCTCCAGCCTAGACTTGGACAGTACAGTAGACTGATAAGGTCATCTCTCTCCTCTCCAGCCTATACGTGGACAGTACAATAGACTGATAAGGTCATCTCTCTGCTCTCTCCTCTCCAGCCTAGACTTGGACAGTACAGTAGACTGATAAGGTCATCTCTCTCCTCTCCAGCCTATACGTGGACAGTACAATAGACTGATAAGGTCATCTCTCTGCTCTCTCCTCTCCAGCCTAGACTTGGACAGTACAGTAGACTGATAAGGTCATCTCTCTCCTCTCCAGCCTATACGTGGACAGTACAATAGACTGATAAGGTCATCTCTCTGCTCTCTCCTCTCCAGCCTAGACTTGGACAGTACAGTAGACTGATAAGGTCATCTCTCTCCTCTCCAGCCTATACGTGGACAGTACAATAGACTGATAAGGTCATCTCTCTGCTCTCTCCTCTCCAGCCTAGACTTGGACAGTACAGTAGACTGATAAGGTCATCTCTCTCCTCTCCAGCCTATACGTGGACAGTACAATAGACTGATAAGGTCATCTCTCTGCTCTCTCCTCTCCAGCCTAGACTTGGACAGTACAGTAGACTGATAAGGTCATCTCTCTCCTCTCCAGCCTATACGTGGACAGTACAATAGACTGATAAGGTCATCTCTCTGCTCTCTCCTCTCCAGCCTAGACTTGGACAGTACAGTAGACTGATAAGGTCATCTCTCTCCTCTCCAGCCTATACGTGGACAGTACAATAGACTGATAAGGTCATCTCTCTGCTCTCTCCAGGTGACAAGTGACTGATGTCCGTGGTTGCCAGGAGGGGCACTGTGCACCCCACCTCTGTCCCCTGTAATGTGCGCCTCTACCCCGGGTCGTCTTTAATATTGATTTGACCCTGGGCAAAAATGTTCTTCGGCCTGCCACACCCCCACCATGCAGGTGGCGTCTCCCTCAGTAGAGGTCACACTACGTGGCATATGGCAGGGGTGGAGCAGCGCTATGTGATGCCGATCACATAGTAAGCAGAACAGTGACGCGTGTATTTTTTGCGTGCTCTTGGAGCAGATGCTTTGGACCCCACAGCAATGACTGGGCATGGGGCCCCTTTTGCCCCACGTTAAAAACAGCCCTGCCTCAAACCGCCCCCCACCACCAATCTGCTCCCACATCTCCAGCCTTGCCACATTACAAAGACAATGGGGGGAATTTACTAAAACTTGAATTTGGTTACTGTGCACAGTCCCCCAATCAGCCTACATCTTCAGCTTGGTCAGTTAAGCTTTGTAAATGAAAGCTAGATTTTGATTGGTTGCCATGCACAGCTGCTCCAGATTTTATAAATTGCCCTTGTATCTCAACTAAGGAGATTTACTCCCCACTTCCTGTGCCCCCACAATAGTAAGTAAAGGGAAATCTCTCAGAGGCCCAATGCAAACAACTTGCGTGGAGCGATACCTGCAGTACAGCTGATCGCCCCTGGACTCACACGGAAGGCATCCAGTGGCGATCATCTATCCCTAACCAATTACATGTGAACACCGGCGGACAGCTGCGGCCCCAGTCGGCTGCTCAGCGCAGCAACTATCCTCATCCCTGTGAATCCAGCCGTAGGAATCCGCCGGATATTTGCTGCAAGTGTGAATGAGGCCTCTGTGAGAAAGAAGCCGATATTCCGCTCCGGGTTCCCCTGCACCTCTGTCCGCCCCTCCACTACATCATGATGATTGACAGCAAAGCTTCCATGGAGAACAATAGAGGAAGTTCCTCTGGCTTCATGGGAACAGGTTTTTTGGTTGAGACATGCTGAGGGGAAGGAGTGGCTGCATGGAGATCCCTTTTCTTCTACAGCAAGATTTCTTTCCCTCCATTTCCTTGAGGTTATGTTATGGGGCCGGTATGGATGGTGATACTGGAATCTCATAGAGCACACTCTGCATACAATGGCCATCCCTGTAAATGCAACATCCCCATACAACAGTCCTGGAGACAATGGATTCTGTGTCTCTGGCTTTACTCTGGATTTAGAAGGATGGGATCTTTTTTTTGTGAAGTTTAATTGCATCATTTATGAGTCCCGTCACAACGTCTTCCTTCCCCGTGCATGAAAAGGAGATGGACCGGTAGGGCATTGTTAAGATGACTGGTTGGGTATGTTTCAGGTTTGAACATGTTCATGAGCCGAGTGGTTTTCCTTTGGCAGCATCGTTCTGCAGTAAAGTTTGTAGTAAAGTTGAAGTTTACCGCAGCGGCGATAATCACGGGGCGCCACAAGGTTGAAATAATAGACTAAAAATACAGCCAAAGTTCCTGCGTCTCTGCTTTCATTAACTCTCAGCTCTCTGCAGTCGCCCTATGTTGCCTTGAGTTAAAGCTGAACAAACAGCTAAATACACAGATGAAATATATCTATAGGATCTTCCAGCCCTGAGATTTACACTGCCCTGCCACACAGCACAGCCAGGCAGATGGCACCACGGTCCCTGTTACAGGTATAGCCAGGGCTGTTCCTACACTATTCACTGCCTGAGGCTGGGGGGAAGTGCTGGCAGTGGATGCTTGTTACTGGGGAGGGGGCATGGGGGGGGTTCTTGGTGGATGCTTGTTACCGGGGGGTGGAAGGGAGTGTTCTGCATGCTGGAGGTGGTTGCTTGTTACCAAGGAGGAGTCTATGGGTCCGGCAGCTCTGACCAGCATCCCGCTTGGCTCCTGGCAACCAGTGACATAATTTCACTGGAGCAAAAACCAGAATATGTCAGGTTGCTAAGAGCTTTTAGCAACCGGGGATGCTCTAGCAGATCTGACCTGCTGCTATGGGTCACTATAGAGTACTTCTAGGGGGTGCTTTATTAACAGACAGCCACGCAACTGTATTCACAGCACATTATGGCCACTAGATGACATTTTATGCTCCTCAGCTCCACCTAGTAGCAATATTGTGCTGCAAATCTCATTTGCATAGCTGTTTGTTATGTGAATGC